ACTTCTTGGGATTGAACACAGGGCCTCAGTTGTGCCAGGAAAGCACTTTACCACTGAGCTACATACCAGACCACACACTTTAGCTTTTTGAATAACACTTTTATGAACATGTATATACAAATGCCTGCCTTAGTCCTTGCTTTTTATTATTCCAGTTATTTGTTAAGGGTATACTTTTAACTGATGTTGACTTCTTGAATTAAAGACTGAAGAATTAAACCATCGTAGATGTCAACCTTTCAGGACTGGTCCTTTCATTCTGTGTCTTTCTAACACGATCCAAGAATTATTTGAAAATGACATGAGCATTCAAATGGTTGAGCCCAAAACTGAGACTTCATGTTGGTATAAATTGTCTTTGTCTGAAAACTCCAGAGACCTCCCTTATTGTTCAACAGTTGTTCAAAGACGAGTCACCTCTCCATGCCCAAGCTCATCATTTACAAGGAAAACAGAATAAGAATCAAAACTGCCTCAAACTGGCCAATTTTCTAAAAATAAGTTTGACCTTCTCTGAAACATATGATCCCCAAGGATAATAGATAGATGCATAAAATTGGATTTCTGTTAAATAAAAGGAAGTGTGTCTACCACACTCTAACAACATAAAACCAGGACACTTCACCTAAATTATCCTGATTTTACCAATATTCTAAAGCTTACCTTGCCCTAAATTCCAGGTGAAGATCCTATTTTTCACTCACTGTGGTATGAACCTCAACTAAACAACATGAGGTATTTTATCCATTCATATTTAATTATTGCATATGTGCTTTTCCTTTTTCTTTTCCTTTTTTTGTGAGGAAAGGGCTCTTGTTTACTAACTCTGCAAGGACAGAGGCACATTCTGTTTTGTTTTCCTCTATATTTTCAGCACACATTAGGCTTATAGTACGTTTTCTTAAAAAAATTCTAATAAGTCCTTTAACATATTGGATTTGCTCCCTTGAAAGCACTTATATTGGATAATTCATTTAAATGTGTTAACTTTCCTAGAGCCTATGTTGAAAAAAAGTCCTAAGCCCACTATCAATATTGTAAGTTAGTGTAGCTTCCTTCATTGATATTTCAAAGCCTCACTTAACTTTGTCATTCCTATTCTATGCAGTGTTTCCTCTTCCTTTTCTTACACATGGCATATTTTCTTTTAATTTAACTTTTATCATTCTGAATTTTATGGCAGGCTAAAAAATTAGCTTCCATTCATGGTGGAAGAAATCTAATATTACTGTACTAGTTCAAAGCAAATGGTATAAAAAAGCCTCTTTCACAATTCTGGGCTACTTCCACATTTTCAAATCATCTTTCCTTCAAGAACCACAACATAGCTGGCCTTGATTCCATGCTATTTTCAATAACATATTTTACCAAAGTATGAATTAGAAGAACTGCTTAATTCACATTCACCCTGATTGAATTCTGGAGAAGATTTCAGACTTTGAGCTGAAAGGCAGCAATGGAAAATGATATTGATCATGAAAGACTTTTTACTCCCTTCCCCTCTAAATCTCTTGCCTCCTGTTCTTGTTTCACAAAAATGCTCTGCACCTGGCTTCTATTTTGGTTCTTTGTCTCCTCTTGTGTTTCTCTGTGTTTCCTCTGTCCTCCTTACATAAGCTTCACTTTGAGAAAATTTAACCTCCCTTCAGAGCTGGTCTTACTTTCAAGAAAACTTTTTTGTCCTTTCGGTGTTGAACCATTTCTTTCCTTGGAACCCAGAGTGCAATCTGAGCACTTCTAACTAAATTATTTCATCACAATCTCTCACATTAATTTTTCTCCTTCACCACCTCATCCCAATTCCTTTGAAGCAGATGCCATCACTGCTATGGTTTGGATATTTTATTTCCTAAATTTTCATAAACTGGAAGCCTGGTTTCCATGTATTCGTTTAGACCCTGGTGGATTCTTAGGAGATGGGGCCTATTGAAAGGTGATTACACCATGAGGGCACCGGCCTCAAAAAGGATTAATGCTTTGTTTTTGATTTTGCAGGAGTGGGTCAGGTCTGGATTAAGTCCCATAAGAATGGGTTGTCAACCTTTCCTGGCTGTTTCTCTTATTTCTGCTGTCTTGCATACATGTACCATGTTGTAAGGTAGTCAAAAGGCCCTTGTCACAAGATGAATAAATGAGGCCACCGATTCTTGGGCTTTTAGCCTCCCAAACTGTGTGCTAAATAAACCTCTTTTCATTATAAAAATTCCCATTCTCAGGTATGTTTTTTTAAAAAAAAAAAAAACACAGAGAGAGAGAGAGAGAGAAAGAGAATTTTTTTTTTAATATTTATTTTTCAGTTATCGGTTACATCTTTGTTTGTATGTGGTGCTGAGGATCGAACCCGGGTCGCATGCATGCCAGGCAAGCGCGCTACCGCTTGAGCCACATCCCCAGCCCAGTATGTTGTTATAATATCACAAAATGCACTAATGCTACCACCTGATAATTTTTCTAAATATAGCCGTCTACCACACAATTTAATGGAATATTTTAGCACTTCAATTATTGTTTTCCTTTTCTCCACCACAGTATTCTTCCATTAGCATAAGTGGTGATGTAAAAATACACTGGAACCTTCTAATCACAGTACCAGTTGACAATTGAGCATTGTCTTTTTATCATTCTTTTTCATTACATGGCTCCTGTGCTTTGCATTTTCCAAGTACACCTACTACCTCATAGAACAATTTCTCTTCTTTCTGATCTCTAAGTGTCAAATTTCCAGTGTGTAGTCTTTGGATTTTAATGTTAAACAGCATTTTCTAGATGATTGCATCTCAGTCCACAATTTCTTTCTTAACTCTAGATCAGCAACGGCAATACTCTTGTCAAAATCTTTGCTTTCATATTGAAAAAGCTTTATAAACATCAAGTCTACTCAAAAGAACTCTTGATTTCTGTCATTACAATACCTGAGGGAAGGACAAGGACTTCTTTAGAACAAAAGGTAAGTTATTCTTTTTTATTTATTTATTTATTTATTTATTTATTTATTTATTTATTTATTTAGGTACTGGGGATTGAACCCACAGCCTTGTGCATGTGAAGCAAGCACTCTACCAACTGATCCACATCCCCAGCCAAAACTGACTCATTCTTGATTTTCCCTGGGTACTATGTAGAACCTGTTAGCAAATCCTTGTTCTTTTGACTTCCTTCTCAACATCTCCACAGCTCCCACTCATGGTTAAAGCCATGCTAACGCTTTATCTGGGCTAGTAATGCATTGGAATCAACTTTTATTCCTCTCTAAAAGCACTGTTATTTTTTTTGTTTTGTTTTGTTTTTTGGTTTTTACAAACTCCCAACCTCAAGGTATCAAGGATAATCCCTTTACATCGGATTAAGTCATACCATTGTTCCAAGTTACTCAAAGACTTTCTTTCCAACATAAACAGAAAAGAAATCCCATCTTCTAGCCCCAAGAAATATATCTCATCTCCACCCAGCCTTTCTCAGTTTTATGGTCTCTTAAGCCCCTACTGGCTTTAGGGGTTTTACATTGGAATTCAGTTCCTTCTCTCAGGTTCCACAAATCTTGCTCTTATCCTTTCCTCACATCATCATTTAAGTCCCCCCTCTGCACCCCCCACCCCGCAGAGAGCTCTTTTTAAACTTTCTAGCTGAAAACAGCACCATTCTCAAATTTTGTTCTTGTTTTAGAATTTATCACTACATGACTTTATATTAAATAGTTCCCGATTTTACTCATCTATTTGTATCTTACACAGTTTATTTGCATTGCTCAGGGAGGATCATTTTTTTATTGTTCTTAATCTAACCTCTAGAACAGTGTTTAGCACACTTTAAACATTCAAAAATATTTGTTAACAAAATAATTGAACCAAACTAATTAATTATTCATTGGAATAAAACAAAAAAAAGATAAGAATTGGTTACAGAGGGTTGTTACTCTAATTTATAAGTTGGACATAATGTGATGGACAAATAGGTGAAACGCTTTTAGTTAAAACTGGGGATTCAGATCAGGTACCAGTATTGGCATTGTAGAAGAACTATTTTACGAGCATAACACACATCTTTTTTGCTTGGTTGACATTTCTTTTTCTTTATGAGGATGTTTGATATGTGATACAATTACTTGTAAAAAGAACTATATTCATCCTGTTCCTAGTAGCAGGGAAAAAAGTAAACTATAGATACACAAAAGCTAAATTTACCAGGGATATTTAGGTTTTGTGTTGGTGTATTTTTAGCAATGAAAATGACTATTAAGATACTCCCCCCCCAAAAAAAACTATAATTGAGAATAAAAATGAATAGACTTTAAATTTGTTCCCCAATAAAATACAATGTTTTAACACACATTTTTTGGTAATGAAACTATTGCAACTATTTGTGTTGTCAAACTTTTAAATTATCCTTAAACATTTTGATAAAATTAGAGAAGTATTAAATATCATCAACTTTAGTCTTAAATATTATATTTAAAAATTCTAAATAGGTTAGGCATAATTTTTGAAATAGGAAGGATTTTTTAAATTTCAGTTAAGTATTGACATGAGTAATGTTATTTTCTACATTAATTTAACAAACATTTACATTTCAAAAAATTATTGTAGAACAAAATTATCGAACATTTTAAAAATATTATTTCTTCAAGTGGATATCAGTGATTTTGTACTTGCCACCTTGAATTTATATTTTGAGAATCTGAAGTTATCCTGAATTAAAACTATGAAGGGCATAAAAACATACTAAGAAAACAAACTTTTTAATGTTATTTATCATAAAAAATAAAATAATTTTTCTCACTTATTAGTGAAAATAAAAAGGAAATTGCTTATATAGTCACGTCATATAAATAATCTGTGCCTTACTTCGAATAATTAAACTCATATATCTGCAATCTTCAGGCTTTTGTTCATACAATTTGAATAAATACATAATTAATGCAAACCACATGGATATAGTTCATCTGCAGAACTGGAACCCTTTGCTTTCACTTCAGTGCTGTGTCTTAGTATATTGTTTCATACCTTTACTCTGAGCACAGAAGCAAACATTCTTGCATCTTCAGATACTCCTCCAATGTAGAATCTTTTCTGAAACACTGGGGGATGATTATTTTCATCCTGAATCTCAATGTATACTTTAGCTATATTGCCTGGGAGACAAGAAATAAAACATTTTTATTAATGGTTATTCATTAGAAAAACAAATGCATAGAAATAAACACTTCTCATACTTACAATAAAAATCATTCCTAAATGGATGCCTAATTCCCCAAATCCAGAGGATATCAATAATGACGCTTTTGTTATAATAATGTAAAATTGCCACTATTTCTTTTGGTTACAATGTCTTTATTTTAATTGATATAATGACTGCTAAAGTACTGTGCACTAAAGTACTGTGTGCGCTGCTATTTTTCCTTTTTTTCTATTTTGGGCTGGGGATTGAACTCAAGGGTAATTTACCACTAATCTACATCACCAGCCTTTTTGTTTTTGTTTTTGTTTTAATTAGTTAAACATGATAGTAGAATGCACTTTGATACATCATATATAATGGAGTATAATTTCTCATTCTGTGTTTGTGCCTGATGTAGAATCACACTGGTCATATAGTTATATATGTACATAGGGTAAGAATGTCTGATTCACTCTGCTATCCTTCCAAATTTTTTAATTAATTAAATTTTTAAAAAAATGAGACAGTGTTCCCTAAGTTGATAAGGGCCTTACTTATTAACTTACTGAAGCTGACCTTGAACTTGCCATTGGCCTGTCTGAGACTATGAGTCACTAGGATTACAGTGTGCAAACGTGCCTGGATTCAATGGTTCAAGTTCACAAACACTTCATACACATTACCAATTACATTAAAGCGGCAGATATATATAAACTCCTTCTGAAATAATAGACATTTCCATAAATCATGTATATCATATATTATTCTTATTTATAAAACTAGCAATAATAATCACCTCGTTTAAAACTACAATGTAAGTTTTTATTATTATTATTATTTGATACTGGGGATTGAACCAGGGTGCTTAACCACTGAGACACATCCCCAGCCCTTTTTTATATTTTATTTAGAGACAGGGCCTCACTAAGTTGCTGAGGCTGGCTTTGAGCTCCCAATCTTTTTGCCTCAGCTTACCTAAGGTGTTTGATTACAGGCATGTGCCATCACGCCCGGCTTATTTTAAAAGTTAGAGACAATTGGGTGAATTGCTTACTGCTATAAAAGGAAAATAAGTTTTATCATGTAATAAGGACTGTTTGCATTAGAAGCTAACATTCAGTGAAAAAATGTAACTTAAAATATAATTATCATAGATTCATAAATGCTACATTTTGCCATTTAAATCATATAAAGTATACCATAAAGAACACATTTCCTCTCAACTGTTAGAAACAGCCCCACATTATCCCATTAGTGAGAAATTGGCATCAGTCACTAGTCCAAGGGTGATGTTTCTGATACAAAAAGGATTCTAGTGTGTAAAAACAATGTCCAAGCCAGATAAAATGGAAAATAAATAATTATCAATTCTGCAAAAGTAGACTAAAATAAGCATTCCAACATGATGCCTAGGGAAACTATTCTGATGCATTTTAATTATGATCAAATATATGGCAATTGATCTACAAACTATTTATTAGAAATACCTATTTTAATATTTTATCCTGTAATAAATGCCCTGTCTTAAGCTTTCAGTAATGAATACCAGCTAGTAGCACAGCCATACATAATGGCATATTGGATATCTGAATTGATTGAATAATTAATGAGGAACCTGTCTTAGTAACAAAAAAGAAAGAGCTATTTTTTCATTACTTTTTTTTTAATAAGACAAACCCTAAGCTTTTGTCCATATCCTGTTGCTCCTCTTTTCATTTCCCTCTGCTTCATTTCTTTCTCATAATCCTTGAACTGAAAAAGCTAGAATAAAGAGGAGAAATTTGCTAGGTCGACAAAGAAAGGAAGTAAAGTTTGTGGCTGATTATGCTTCTCTGTTCTTCAGTTCTAGAGTCCTGGCTTGCCCTTCAGTTAGCTACCATCAATCAAAGTTTATCCAAAATAAAATCCAATTTTATCTTAGCAACATACCATTTTTACCACTAGAATCAAAGAAGTTAACAGATACAAATTTAATATTTAAAGAAAGGGAGAAATCCTAAACTACATCACTTTTCTGATAACACATTTCTTCTCTGTCATTCACAAATACATAAAATTAAATCTGCTGTGCCTTTTTGGAATTCTGCAAAAGATAGAGGTCTCAAAATCTAAACTAATTAAGGATGTCATTATTCTTCATTAAATGGGTAATTTAAAATGCAAAAAATCACCAGCATGGTACCACATGATTGTAATCCCCAAGGTGTGGGAGGCTGAGGCAGGAGGATCACAAGTTCAAAGCCAGCTTTGGCAATTTTGGGAGGCCCTAGTAATTTAGTGAGACTCTGTCTAAAAATAAAATGTAAAAAGGGCTGGGGTTTTTACTCAGTGGTTGAGCACCCCAGGGTGCTTACAGTAGTGTTTAAGCCCTGGTACCAAAAAAAATTTAAAAAAAAAAAGGAAAAGTTTATAAACTCAAATTTTATATATCCGCCTCATAAACAAGTAAATATGTTCTTTTTTTAATATTTGTTTTTTAGTTGTATTTGGACACAATACCTTTATTCACTTATTTATTTTTATGGGGTGCTAAGGATCGAACCGAGGGTCCCACATGTACAAGGCAAGCGCTCTACCGCTGAGCCACAACCCCAGCCCTTAAATATGCTCTTAATAAATATTTCTTGTGTCATTTTTATCACAACCCCTTAGATTCCCATGTATGCAAGTCTTTTGGTGCTTTGTGTGTGTGATTATATATCACCTGCTTCCCTTGTCATCTTTTTCCAATGTGTTCTGCATTCTGACATCACAGTGACTTTACTAAATACAAGTATGACTCTTTAAATCAAATCAAGTATAAAATTAACAGTCATTAATTTTTTCATTCTATCAATTGATTATTTATTCAATATATCTTTTGAGGGACTGTCTTGCATGAGCCACTCTAGATATTACTATGTGGAACAAGAAATAAAAGTTATGATTTTTTTAAAAATTAAAAACAAAAAATCCATATCAAAAAGTTAGCATGAAACAGAAGGCTCTTAAAATTCTTACATGGTTATCTGGTTCTATTTGCATTACCCTCTGAACATTATTACCACTGACAGATAATGTGAGCAATGCTGTGGATGTACATGCACATCCTCCTTCTTCCCCTATGTAGAGATCACCACAAACCTTCCACAAACCACAGTGTGAGCCATTTCTAAGATCCAATAGAGTCTTGAAATCTCTCTGGAATTTTTGAGTTTGAAGGAATAGGGAGCAGGACAGTTTATGTCCATATTCCCCTGCCTTCTCCCAAAGAAACTGAAAAATAAAGAAGGAGAATTTGCTTGTCTTTAGATAAGTATTTGAGTATGCATTTCCATTTAAAACCACAAGGATTAACATTTCACTGAGAAAGTTCCATTTCATTCTAAATATTTACAAAACTTGGTGATAAAAATATAGAGTGATAAAATGGGACTAATGAATGAAAATCTGCATCCAAACCATATAAAAAAATAGTGGGTAATTTGACTGAAATTAAATTAATCACATTTAAAAATGTAATAAGGAAGTGTTTTCATATGCCCATAGTTGAAAACATCCCTCACCTTCACCTTATAAAAGCATAAAATATTTAGAAATAGTATGAATGCAATCTGAGAAATTTTATTTCCATATAATTGAATACTTCTGATACTTGTAAAGCAAACTAGATTTTTACTAGCACAGAAAGAGGTGACTGTGCTCTGATCCACATGTTGGAATTATATATGTTAATTACATCTAAATTATGTTTCATTCACATGTTGAAATATTGCAAAATCATTAAAATAATGTTTTTGAAGAATACTCAATGACAGAAAAATATTTTGGATACAATACCAAATATAAAGAGTGAGGCCATGATTTTAAACAAAGCACTTATTATTAAAATTTGTACCTATGTGTGTGAATGCATAGCAATAACTGGGAAACATGGAATTTTTTAAATAGTAAAAATGTACAATTATATATCATCTTAATTTTCTTCATTATACATTTTCTCTAATTTTATTCTTATTACTTTTCTAAATAAGGAAAAATTAATGTAAAGTTGGAAAACTGGAAGTGTAAAGAAAGCAAAAGTTATAAAACAATGCATGCAAAAAATTAAAAATATATATATTGAAATAAACTTCATTGGGTTCTTTCTACACTTTTCTAAAATGTCATCATTGTTATCTGAATAGTCTGGGAATACCTACTATATATCTTTATTTTTTCTGAATCAAGAAGCCTGGCTGAAAGCATACATTTTTCCCCCCTGAAATAAATAAGAATTTGCATTCTACTTTGCTTATTTTTAAGAAGACATTTTCTAAGGTACATGTTATTTATTTGTGAAGATTTAACCACAAAACAATGACTAAATAGATGATAAGTGATTGTGCAAAAGATAACCTAATTATCTTTATATCTTTGCTTAGTTCATTAGTCATGTGGCATACAAAGTATTAAATAATTGTATTTTTGCAGAAATTTTAGAAGCAACTTAAAGTGAAGTAATTTAATTATAACTATTTAATGCCATTATCCCCACTTAAGGTAGTTTTTGAAAAATATTTAATGAATACTTATCAACTAGGGGTTCATATTTTTTGTAATAGGCCATTCAATCCAAATATTTTGCTGAATCCACTGAACACAATTTTTGAAGCAACAAAGCTTTGTAAATTTTGAAAGCTCAGGTAATCAGCTACTTGTATTTTGGGGGAACAGTCAGTAAAAATAGAAATTAAAACTTTCATTATGATAGAAAGTAAAAATCTAGCACTGTAACTTTTAAATAATAGCCCACTATTCACACAATTCTCCATATCACCCACCCAAGCTTTCTAGTTAAACACAATTGAGTCCTAAATATTTTTTTTTAAATGGTAGAGTAGTTTTGTGGTTGTTGTGTGTGTGTTCATGTGTATGGGTATTTTTTATTTGTTTGTTTGTTTTCTTTTTTTTTCTGGCTATTAACATCCCTTTCTGCTTTATTGTGGATATAGA